ATCTCAGCTTCCTGAGTAGCTAGGATCACAGCTGTAAGCCACTGGCATCTGCTTAGTATTCTTTGATATAGTTAACAAATTTTCAATTCTTATGATTATTAAGAGAAAAAATAATATATAAAGTATCTACTAGAAGAAGAATGAATATATAAGGAATCTATTAGGATTTAGAGTTAACTAATTATTGACTTCCATTTTTCAGATTAAGAAACTGTTTTTCCTTTTCGTATTCAGTGAAAACTATGCATGGTAAAATCTACATAGCATAAAATAGAAACCTTCCATATGAAGAACAAATTGTTCTCTGAGTTAAATCACAGAAATATTATTTGCTTTAGGCAATGTAATAGTCTACTGTAACTATAAATTATTTGCACCTGAAGTGTATGATAATTCTGTAGAGCCACTATACTCTGCTTCTAAATAATACATCTGGAAGGAAGAAGTCAAGTGTGCTTTGTTCCACAGAAAGATATAAAAGAGTTGGAAAATCACTGCTGATTTCATTCTTTGTGATTTCTATTGTATGATGGGCACAGAAATGAGCTATGTGTGTCTGGTCCAGTGTTCATACCTTCAACCCCAAATTCCCTACTACCTCAGAACACAACTGTTTATGTTGAGATAGAATCTTTAAAAGGTAATTAAGAAGAGGTAACTACAGTGGGTCCTTATCCAATATTATTGATATACTTACACAAAGAAGCAAGATCACAAGCAACCTAGAGGAAAAATCATGTGAACCCATGAAAAGAGAAAGATGGCCATCTATAAGCCCAGAAGTGAAGCTTATAGATAGCCCCCGAAAAGAACTAGGCCAGTACTATGATATCGGACTTTTAGACCCCAGAATTGTCAGAGAATACATTTGTGTGGCTGAAGCCATTGCTACATGAGAATTTGTTTTTGCCTCCCTAGAAAATATAGACAGTATCTATGTACTTTATGGTAATACAATGAAGTCCTTATTCTGCTCATTATCCATTATCTCCTCACCTGCCATGTTTCCAAGATAATGTGCATAGACTCTGATTTTAAGGTGCATGATGAAGCGCCAATTTTACTAATGAAAAAATCCTTTGATGACATTTACAGCTATTAGATGAAAGAAGCATAAAATGATGGCCAGTAGATGAAATTAAGGATAGGACTTTTCCCATACTTTGCATATGTCTTGGAAGTAGATCTCAGTCTTTTCCAACGATGCTCTCTGAAAACTGACCTATTATCATTTGTTCAATGATAGATATCATTCTCAATTTTAAAATAAAGTCCATTTACTTCCTAAGTAGAGGCTACATTTTGACTTCAGGTATTTCTCATTTTTCTATATCTAAAAAGCAGGGTGTTGTACAATATTGTTTAGGTAGCCATTTTTAGAACTGATTTAAATGTTTTGAAACCCAGTTGTGCTCAATTACCTTTAGCCTACTTTAAACCTTCTTATTCCCAGTGATCCCAAACCCAACACATACTGCAGATAATGGTTAGGATCAAATTCAATGGTCAATGCCAAAGTCATGTAAGTTCCTTGTTCGTGAATATGTTCTTTTTTTTTAACCTGGGGAGGTATTTATTTATTTATATTGTAAAAATACTGTACAGAGGGGTTACAGTTACATGAACAAGGTAATAAGTACATTTCCTATCAAACCTTGTTGCCTCCTTCTTTGTTTTTCCCTTACCATCCCTTCCCTCCCACCTCCACAACTACACTCCCCCCACCGCCACCAAATAGTAAAGTTCCTTTTTCAACATAGTGTCTTGTATATGTCATTGTTACAATGGGTCAACCTGTATCCCTATTTAAGCATTTTGTTTTTTAACCAATTGATCAACCTGGCAATCAAGGCCTGGGAATCCTAATAAAGGCAGAATCCTACAGGCTCTCTTTCTCACCCAAGCTCTACTTGCGAGGCTAGCTCACAGCTGCTTGGAAACCTCCACAAACTTCAAGAGAGCACCCCAAAACTTCTGGCCCTCACTGCATACAGAATATCAGCTGTCACATACTTGAGAACCTTTTTTTTGCCTAGTCAAGGCTTTCTTTTCAAGAGAGAAAGATTATTTTGTCTTAGGGCTGCTCTCAAGACAGATAGACTTTAAGACCAACTTAGAAAGTAATGGTAAGGACAGAAATCACAGCACATGGTCAATAAAGTGACTACATTCTTAGAGTTATCATAAAGATGAACTGTATTCATGAATTGTTTTGTTAAATGGTAACTCCTTTGTGTAACTACGTAAAGATAATAATAAATCTTTTAAAAAAGAAATGAATGATATGTTTGGCTGATTGAAAGCAATCCATAAATGATCTTTCCCATGGCTAACATTAGGTAGTAGGTATGTATATGTCACTCATTTTATGTGAACTCTTCTACTTTAACTTTTGTTTATTCTCATATGTATTGTCCCAGACTCTGGAATGTGAAGTTCACAAATATAAGATCAACATGCCCACAAACAAACAAGTTGGTTTCTTGTAAAATGATAATTTTTGAACTATCAGTTTTGCACAGGAAAGGATTATAATACACTAAAGTCACTCAGCAAGCCAAGAAAAATTATATTCCAATCCAAGATGGTACAGTTATGAATTAACCATAAATTCAAATTAAGGACAGATAATGTATATCATCTATGTTAGTTCACATATTCCATTAGACATCATCTTTATTTCATATTGCATATTTAGGATTTACAAATTGCTGATGCTTCAATATTGCAGAAATATTCCACAATTTTTGAGGATCTTGACATTGAGTTTAAAATATATTTACTATTATAAATATGCACTGGAAATAATTTCATGGACATGGTGTGCTTTGAAGCATTGATGTGGAATTGAAGATGATTTTATTACTGCTTTACTTGCTCAAGCACTGAGATGAGTTTTGGATTCATTTAAAATAGCAAGTTTTAAAACAATTTATTTGCATAGTTATTAATATATTCTAGAACCTTAAAACTGTCTAATGTTCTAAAATTTGCAGTGTGACTTTTGGCTATGTATCATTGGAAATACCTACTAGTAGACAGATTTGTTTTAGTATTAATGTATTATTTTTTTAATCATGTTAGGGTGAAAACAATTCCCATTACAGAAAACATGAAGATGAATATGATGTCATTATTTTCAAACATCTCAAGGAATTGAAAATTTGTAAACCCTTATAAATTATGATTTGATATCAACAAGAAAGAAGAATATTTGCATCACACACTGTAAAAAAAAACATATTTTTTCATAAAGAACAATTCCTTTTGAGAATACTAAGAGATTGAACTCCAATCACTAATCATCTCACTATGGTTACAAAGGAACTTCAGGAAAAAATGTAACAAAGATCAAAAGATAGAAACTTCATGCATATATTTTTGGTGCTATGGTGGTATAGTAACATAGTATTTACTTCATTGAGCCAAGTCCAAGGCTGTGTATGTCTGTGTGTGAGTGTGAATGTATGAGTGTGTGTTTGTGTGTGTGTGTGTGTGTGTGTGTGTGTGTGTGTGTGCATAGGAGGTGGGGTCTGCATTCAAATAAGCCCATGGGATCTTTGACAGAAATGTGCTTTACTTGCGTCAGAAAAATAATAAACTACAATAAGATACTATGCAGCAAGCTATAAATAAAAACTATCAGATTATTGAGAGAATATATGAAATTCAATATCTCAACATCTGCTTATTAAACACCTATCGTGCTTTATGCTACAAAACCTTGTACTGCTAAAAAAGTGAGAAGGTAAAAAAAGGAGATAGTATGGAGAGGGAGAGAAGGAAAAAGAGCTGAAAGATTGCAAGCACTATACCATTCTTCATCAGTAGAAATCTTACAGAAATTCATGTTGTTTCAACTAAGATAAATACTTTAGGTAAGAATTCAAATGAAATACATTTAGCAGATTTACAATCTAATTACAACATTAAGGTAAATAACTTTTAATTACCCAGAAGAACTTGTTCTGCTTAGGGCATTAAGTCAAGAGTTAAAATGTCTCCATCTTTTTTGTTTTCCTTTTCTACAGCTACATCCTGCCCTTCTCTGATCTATGGACAGAACAAACTCTTGTTTGATTCTGATGGAGTTATTAAAATGGTGAATGTGCACTAACACTTTTTATTTATTCCTTTCTACCCACTGCCTGATAAGCCACTTCCAATGAAGATGGAAACTTTGGAGGAAAAAAAATGCTCTAAAAGGTAGGAACTAACAATGCTCACAGTAGCATGAAATTTCCTGAATGCAATTCTTAGCATGGCTAACGAAAGCACCTTGGGCTCTGTGACTTTAATGATACCATAAAAATAACAAGGCATTAAACAAGCCTCAGCCTTAATAGGCTAGAAGAGGGTGAATGGGGGAAAATATTTAAATTACCCCAATCCAACGAATGACACACTAAATCAATGTAAATCCATTACTCAAGGTTCTTCAGTAAGTAGTTTCACCTACATCCTAACAAGTGTGAAATAGGAGAATGACTACTGTTGTCAGACACCCCTAGAAAGAACCTTCACTAAGTCATTACAATTTGGGACAAGAAAATTGATCAAAATGGGAATGGAATTCAGGAAGTCTGAATTCCAACTTCACGTATAAATGGATTTGATACATTTTCCAATGGAGAGACTTAACATGGTTGATTTAGGCATAAGGCTTAGGAATCTTACAAGCTGGTAAAATAATAACAGATCATGTAATATAGGGCCAGTGGATGGATGGTGGTTAGTAGTTACTTGGTCCAATCTCTCTGATTGTTGTGAGAAATGGAAAGCTGAGGGATGGCCTGACATACTCATGACAAGACAGTGACCTCATGGTCACTGTAGCCTATAATCCAGGATTCCTGTTGTCGTCTCTAGTTGTTAGAATTTATGATTCCAGTTTGTAGGGATGGTTGACACAGAAGAATTGTTGTTGCAACGTTGTGAAGAATGAATTATAAACGCAGTGATGCCTCTATTTGTTCAATGAAAATGAATAGTTTACTCACCTATGGGGAAAAACTCGTTCATTTTCTTTTTGTAGATTTTGAAGTCAACTTCTAAAAAGACACAGAAGATGATTCGATCCACCTAAAAGCAAAAGATAAACACTTAAGGTGAAAAAAGTATGGCAAATTATTTCCCAAAACATAGATGTAGAAAAAAATAACAAATAGAAAACTCTCCTGCAGATTTTTGGTGCTATAATGCTCAGTATATCACATACTGAATGAAGTTTAAGGCTGTGTGTGTATCTGTGTGTGTGTGTATCTGTGTGTGTGTGTGTGTGCGTGTGTGTGTGTATGTGTGTGTGTGTGAGAGAGAGAGAGAGAACATGTGAGTGTATGGGTGCTCTCTCTATATAAATAAATAAATATATGGGCTCTTTGGTGGAAAGACGCCATATAAATCAAATAAGAAATAATAAATGACAATAAGCCACTTTTCAGCAAGCTATAAATAAGAGCTAAGATTCAGACAGGATACCTAGACTTTATGTTCTATAAAACAGCCATATGAGAAGTATATGACAATAAACTATGTCAGTAAACAAGGAGCTCTTTGTCCTATCCTTGTTAGACAAATATATTTATCAAACCTGTTACTATTTGAACATGGCCTAAAAAGCTTCCTTGGAATTTAATTTGTATGAAGTCACTTGCCTTTAGTCAGAAATGCAATTGAAATAAAATATCATTAGTTGACAGTGACACAAGGTCAAGATAGCATTTAACTTGGTAGATATCGTTGCGTAAGTAAACGTCATCTCAAAGGTAAAATGTGCCTGTGCACTCCCTTTTTGTTCTTCTGAGAGAGCTTCTGCATGTAAGAAAGAGGTTTCTTTGAATCAGAGCAATGTGTTAAACAGAGACAAGAGATGGAATATGTATCATGCCTCACCTCTGTCTCATAATGAATGGATAGCTCAGCTTTGTATCCTAAACATAAGAGCCACTTCAGCTCCTTTATTTTGACCGTGCAGAAGTTGAAAAATCATTCAGGCTATCAAATTGCAACCGACAAACTGAACAAAACATCCAGTTATCATGGAAAAAAAGGGAGAAGTTGGCTATGTGCATGCTAGGACAAGAAAGAACCTAAATGGATGCCTGCCACATAGCCCTCCTGCTCTCACAACCTGTGGGATACAGACCCTGAAACTAAAATGTAAACGAAAAGTAAATGAGAAGTTCTGGTAACTGGTGGCTGAGTCACAAAAGATCAGTGAGGTAGCCTGACACCCCCCAGAGTTTGCTTTCCCAATCTCTGTACAAGTTGTGCCCTCCGTAGGGTGGACTGCAACCTGGGCAGTCAGCGGGCTTCCATCCTGCAGCAACCAAAGACTGTGAAGTTCTGGAGTTGCTCTCAGTCCCCCTGCCTTCTGAGTGTAGGCATGGACCACTGCACCTGGCTCAAATATTCTCTCTTTTTTTTTTTTTTTTGCTGGTCGAGGAGCTTGAACTCTGGGCCTGGGCACTGTTCTGAGCTCTTCAGCTCAAGGCTAGCACTCTACCACTTGAGCCATAGCACCCACTTCCAGGTTTTTCTGTGTATGTGGTGCTGAGGAATCGAACCCAGGGCCTCATGCATGCAAGGCAAGCACTCTACCACTGAGCTACCTTCCCAGCCCCTCAAATATTCTCTTTACCTTGCATCTATGTTTTCACTAAAAACCATTCCTTGGGCTGGGAAGGTGGCTCAGTGGTAGAGTGCTTTCCTGGCATGCATCAGGCCCTGGGTTCGATTCCTCAGGACCACATAAGCAAAAAGAAAAAAGCTGGAAGTAGTGCTTTGGCTCAAGTGGTAGAGTGCTAGCCTTGAGCTGAAGAGCTGAGGGGCAGTGCCCAGAGTTCAGGCCCCACGACCAACCAAAAACAAACAAACAAACACTCCTCATGCTCAGGGGAGCTCAGAAGCACATGTAGGCTTTAGCTACCCAATTCATAAGTTACTATCTGCTCAAACTCTTAAAATTTCAACACATCCTAGTTTATTTTTTCCTAGTGTTAATATACAGAAATACATAAATAAATGGTTCATGTACTTTAAGGATTGTGTTGAATTTAGGGGAAGGGAAAAAGGCATGATAGCTAGAATTTTGCTTGAATAGGTAATATTTTTATTTATTTAGAAAGCAAAAAGATGCATGTTTCCTATGTGGAAGCAAGATTTAGCTGGCAAACTCAAGGAAATAGGTTGGGTGGTACGCAAGTGAACGCAAATGTATTAGCTGAAATATGGTAGGCTCAAGGGAGATCTCAAATAGTGCAATTCCTTAGAAAGCCAAAAAATTAAAGTTCAGCAAAACAAAACATCCGGAAGAGGGTACTCAAAAGGGGTGGGGTACAGTCCAGAGGAAATGGGTGGACAAGTGGAGAGGAGAAGAGGGATGTACACAAGAATCCAATAAAGTAAATTTTATAAAATGAGAGAAAGGGGGGGTGGGGGAGGGTTGGTAAGAACCTCGAAAGGGGAGACATTGCTCAGATACACTGTGTTTATTAACTGTTTTGTTGTTAAATGGTTACTTCTCTATACAACTGCTTAAAGACAGTAATAATAAAAATAAATTTAAAAAGAGATTTTAGGACAATATGGCAAATGGCAATAAGTATGAATTATAGCATAGGTATATGGATAATTTCTTAAGACTCTTTGTATGCTTGATATACTTCATAATTAAGTCTTAAATCTAATACTAAGATTCTGCTCAACACTATCAGTTTCTTTTTTTTTATTATTTATTGTGAAAATACTGTACAGAGGGGTTACAGTTAGATGGGCAAGATAATGAGTACATTTCTTATCAAGCATTGTAGCCTCCTCCTTTGTTTCCCCTTCACATCCCTTCCCATCCCCTCCTCCCCCGACCTCTCCCCCCCACAACCCTCCCTCCCCCCCCACCAAAGTTGTAAAGTTCTTTTTCGACATGACAACTTGTACTTCTCATTGTTGCAACGGGTCCACCTGTATCCTTATTTAAACGATTTGTTTTTCCCCTTCCCCTCACAAATTATTCCAACATCAAATACAGTGAAATGTTTTCTTTTTCTTTCATGCATTTGTTTCTAATGCATTTATAAGATTATTTCTTTGTTGCTTTGTATGTCCCTCCCCCACACTACCAGTTTCTTTTAGATATTCAATACTCAATACTCGCTGTGCTGAGATATTTGGAGTTTCCAAAGGGTGGCATAATTATATTCACTCCTGCCTATGATAGTTAGGTTTTGCTCCTCTGGAATTCAAATGGTCAGATAAATTTATTTGCTGGTTTTTTTACTTTATTGTTATTATACAGAGGGATTACAGTTACTTGAGTCAGATAATGAGTACATTTCTTTCATAGTGTCTTCAGTTCCCTCACTCTCCTAGTCCTTTCCTCCTGTCTCTACCCACACGTTGCATAGTTCACTTTCATCAATGTCCCATGAGCTCCACTGCTGCACCTTTTCACCCTTTTCTCCTTGAGCTCTGTGCCCTCCTCCACCCTCCCATACATAAAGAAAAGAAGATCAAATCTTCAAAAAAGAACCTCCATATCTTGGAGTCTTATATATATATATATATTTATATTATATGTGTTCATATATATAATTTTATATAACTATAAAGAGGCACATAGGGATTGTGCCTTTGTGTTTCTCTCCTAAAAGTGTCTTCTTTTGGTCTTATGATGTGTGAATGTGTAGAATAATGTATAATTTATCATAACTCAGTGGGTCATTTTTAAGAATGATCAAAAGAATCAGGTAATTTTTAAGAATGGTCAAAAAGCAAAAGCAAAGAAATCTTACTTCATACAAACCCAAGAAGTCCAAGTGATAAAAAAAATTCATTTCTTCCCATTGCCCTCCATACTGGAGAACAACAAAATAGGTAATATTTTTGACATTCACACTTTTTAGCATGAAGGGAGAGTATGTGCATGAGCTTGTTTTAGGGGCTGAGATTCTTTAGCAGCAACGGTGTTCTTGGCTATTAACTCTACTTTCAAGTACCGTATAATACATATTCAGATTTTTTCAAATATCGCAAAGAAGTTTAATCTACCTTTAGCATATTAAGCTCTGTTACTATGGAAATGGTTTGCACCAAAATTCAACTGCCCAATTTACTGTCCCCAAGAGAAAATGAAGATGAAGTACTTTTATTTTGAAGTGATAGAGTCATTTAGTTTCCTGTCCTTGCCCTTAGACATAACATTGAAGCAAATTTACTCTAAAAATTGCCACCACTTAGTATATACTTAATGGGTGTGTAAATGTGTATTTATACATTTTCATATGTACATATTCTCTGAGGTATTGAAGAAGAGCTCATTTAGTTGACAAGGTCTATGCTTACTAACTCCCAGGTATGGATCATTCTCTATCCAACAGCTTTCTTTATAATGTAATGATGATATTCCTCTTATTGAGAAATGAGCTCCTTTCTTTGGAATCCAGCAGGTCTATGACTATGGCAGAAATGATACTAAATGACTAGTAAATTATAAAAGGCAATGCAGATTCTGCTTGATACTTTTAAAAGGCTCACTCTCATTTGCAGGCATCATGGCCTGGAAAAGCAGCAAGATCACACGGAGAACCCATATTTGGCTCTTCTGGAGAAAACCCTTGCTGAGAGAGGGTAGCCTTTGTTTGACTTCAGTTCTGGGCATTTGAACCACCATAGCTGATGCCACATGGAACAAAGAATGCAAAGTTTCTGCTAAATGCTGATTGTAAGTTAATGAGCCAAGACCTGAAATGTTTAAGTTTGGTAGTCTAGCTTCTTTCTAGAACAATATTTACTGTTATTATAAAGGTGCTGTACAAGAGGGGTTACAGTTACATAAGTCAGGTAATAAGTACATTTCTTTTGAACAGTGTCACCTCTTCCCTCTTCTCCAAGTTTTTTCTTCCAGACTGACCGCTGCAAGTTCTATAGTTCATTTTTAACCTGGTGTCCAGTGAGTATCGCTGTTGCATTTGTTCACCCTTTGTCCCACCATTTCAGTGTTACCCCTTACCCTCCCCCAAACAGATAAACTTACATATAAGACAAAAAGGTATAGAATACAAAAAAGTGACAAAGGAGAAAAAAAA